AAAGTAACAACAGAAGGTAATTTGGATTTTTCAAAATGCTATTCAGAACCAATTTCAGACCGCAATACTGGTTACAATATAGTGAAAGTAATGCAATGAATGACTGATAAGGCAGACTAAATCAGTCTTTTGTTTATTGTGAACTTCTGGCATACATTTAAATATTAATGAACTAACTAAAATTGGGTGTGCATTTGGAGGAACAAGCTCCTCTGGTGTGACAGTGTGATAATATTTGTATGAAACTGATATTCTTTAATGCAAAACCCCAGTCTGCAAATTAAGAGAAGCAAACCAAGACAAACGGAACACTGCAGGAGCTCTTCTTGCAGTCCCTTCCTGCATGAGCTCTTGCAGTCCCTGCACTGCATCTCCCAAACCCTAAAAACTGACTAGGGGGCTCAAAGAATTCCAGTACAAGGAGGGCTGGTGATAGCAAGAATCCCCCATATTAGGAAAAGAACAGCTACTGCCAAGGTACAATCCTTTCTGTAAATAGAAAGCCCTTCCACATGTGCATAAGAGCAGAATAATATTTCCTTCTGAGAATAGCTCCTTGAATTTGAAGGGGTGTCACTCCAACAGAGCCTCTGAAATGGGGGAGGGGGGAGGCAGAGTCAGAAAACTGCTGATGGGAACTGAAAAGTTCACATGTACAAACAGAACACTATGCACAACAGTCTTGATTCTAACCTATGCCTTTCCTATTAGACTAGTTATTTCAGTGAGATACAAGCTTTGTCTCTTATCCTGCCCCTCACACCTAATTTAGCATCAGAAAATGCTCACAACTGCCAATATTTACAAAAGTATTTTGAATAAGAGGTCCTTGTAGAAACACCTCAGCATATGCCAAACAAGTAACCAAAAGGCAACAAAAGTGGGACCATTCTACAACAGCTTCCCACAAAACCACTTGTGCAATTCAGACCTCAGTGCACCTTCAGCTGGGTATCTCAGAAAAAGTAGTTTCCAAGTCAAATGCAACAGGGAAGGAAAAAGGCCTGCAGAAACTTTCCCATCCTTGTAGGAATGGAGAAAAGGGGTGACAGAACAAAATAAATCTATGTGGATCCCTTCTCCAATACCTCAAAGATCAAACAAAGAACCATGCTTCCCTTTGCATCTCGAAATGCCCCTGAACTCTTACGCTTCCGGCATGAGGAACAACTTGTCTCTTTAGAATTTATTTTAAATGTTAATGCATGAGAAAGAAATTACAAGAAATGACTGCATTCAGTATTTTAAAATATATTTATCTTTCCCCTAAAAAGAAACTTATTATTTTTGAAGCCACTGTTGCCTTGAATCCTGAACTCCATGAGGACTTCAAAGGAAAGAGCTATAACTGCATTCCCTAAAGACATTAATGTTACTTCTTGAATCTCTCTTGGAGCTTATCCCCTGGAGCTTTTACTTCTCCATACTTTGCCAAACCTGATTATTTTTCTGTCTAAATTAGAAAAAGATGCAAAAATATTCTGGAAATCTGCATGAATACATGTGTGTCCACACACACACACACACATGCCCCATTCCTCCCAATGGCAAAAAGAGCCCCACAAAGTGGCCATGGGAGGAAATAAATATATTTTTCAGATCAGAGTTCATCCTGCACACTGTCATTGCCTCAACAGGAGTCTCTGTTAAATGTCAGAAATCTACTGAAGGAGAAAATGACATTTTATTGGATATTATGATGCTACTGCCTGAATAACAAAAATGGATACCTTCTATGGCAACAACAAAGTGATTCTGATTAAATTTTTACTTGGTTCTCCGACAAGGACTAACTTTTGTCATTTTTAAAATGTGGTACTTTAGAGAGGTTTATAAATTAGACATTTGCCCACAAATCATGTACATATCCAAATGGTTCTTTTTGGCTTTTCAAATTTCCCACATTTTAGATCCAATATTCATGCTTAATTGCAGTTACAAAATATTCATAAAAAGAAATGTACTAAATTAAGAACCTTTTCTATAATGCTCACAATGTGTAAATAAGCCACATACATACTTTTTTAATCTGTAGGACTGAAAGAAAACTGAAGTTACAAACAAACAATATCTGGTATACATTATTGTGAGTTAGGATATAGGCGTGAAAGGAAGGGGAGAGAAAATTATAACACATTTCAACTTTGGTGTATGATGTTCACCTTTCAACACCACACAGCTACCTTAAAGGAGAGCCAGCACGGCGTAGTGGTTAAGAGCACTAAACTCTAAGCTGGAGAACTGGGTTCAATTCTGCACTCCTCCACATGAAGCCAAGCTGGGTGACCTTCGGTCAAGTTGCAGCTCTCTCAGAGCTCTCTCAGCCCAAAAAATAAGTCTAGCTCACCAACTAAGGGTACATAACACTAACTTGAACTTAAGGCTGCCAGACAATCTTAAAATCTCCTGGCCACACTATACACAATGCCATAAGATAATTATTATTAATTAGCTACCTCAAAAATTGCTCTGCTTTTTCAAAATCCAAGTTCTTTTATTTTATTGATTTCTTTAGGAAACTTTTATGCTGCCTCTACAAAATAAAAATAATAAAAACAAAATATTAAAAAGTATTAAAATCCTGCATAAATATGTAGCCCAGCCTTTAAAAAAAAGCATAGATCATGAAAACAGATCACAGCTTAAAATAAATTTCCAGACTAAAACATTTTTTTTAAAAAAACCAACCCTTAATTAAAAAGCCTGGGTGAACAGAAATATTTTGGCCTGGTGCCTAAAAGAAAGCAATTCAGGTGCCAGGCAAGCCTCAAGGGGAAGAGCATTCCGTAAGTGAGGTGCCACTACTGAAAAAGCCTTGGCTCTGGTTGCCACCTGTCTCACATCTGGCCAGGGCTTTTTTTGTTTGTTTTGAAAAAGAGGTGCCAGAACTCTCAAGAGGGAAATGAAGCTTTCAATCTGTATACTGAAAACTCAAGAACTTTTAAACATTTTAAAAAGAATTTTGTTGAAGAGGTTCCAGAACTCTTCCAGTGTGCTCCCCCAAGGGAAAAAAAAGCCCTGCATCTGACAACACAGAGAGCAGGGCTTGTGAGGCAAATCTTAACTTGCAGGTGAGACAGTATGGGAGGAGGTAGCCCTTCAAATACCCAGGCCCCTAGCCATTTAGGGCTTAAAAGGTAAGAGCGAGCACTTTAAATTGAGCGTGGAAGCAAATAGGCAGCCCAGCCCTGGGGTAATACAATTCCTGTATCCTGCCCCTGACAATTGCCCAGCTGTTGCATTTTAGATGAGCTGACATTTCGGACCGTTTTCAAAGGCAGCCCCACATAAAATTACAGTAATCTAATATGGATCATGTAACCAGAGCATGGATTACTGTGGCCAGATCTTTCCAGTGCCTGCCTGCCTGCCTGCCTGCCTGGAAAGAGACTGTTCCATCAAGGGCAGAGCTCTTTCCACCTTCTCTGCTCCTCCTACTCCATCTATAAAAGAACTGCCTTCTAGAAAGAGAGAAGGAAGGTGAATGCCTGCCTGCTTCAGGAGAGACTATTTAATCAAGGGATGAGTTGATGTCACTTGCTTTGCTTTAAAAAATAGTTTGTTACTGGCAAGTAGTAATCATAAAATTGGCATATTCTGCATATCTGTGGAATATGATTCTTTTATCTATTTTGTATACTGTAAGCCCCTTTGGGTCCCTATTGTATGGAGAAGTGGGTTAAAAGTGTCCTAAATAAATAAGTCTTGCTTTTCAAGGAACAGACAAACATCTTCAGTGAATCAGCCAAACACTTTAAGCGTATCAGCCAAAGCTGGTAAAAGGCACTACATTTCTTGAAAATAGGTGTTTAACTGTGCAGAGTTACTCATGTCTAACCCAATTATTTCACTTGGTTTATACCGGAGTAATTCTGAATAGGATTGTCCTGTAAATCTAAGCACCAAAATCAAAGTAGTTCAAACCCACATTAAAAGAGAAGTCCACCTGCAAGCAGGCAGACCCCCTCTCTTTATTGAGAGGCAATATGGAGGAGAACCTCCTCCCATTTTACAGCGCCCCTGGAGTTCATATACCAGGCAGACCTGACCTAAGTATAAACAAGATGAATCCCAGACAAGCAGGCCTCATAATTATGCCCAGGCGGCAACTCTGGAAAGTGTGAGATCTTGGTCTGACCCAGTTGCAGCCTCTCCCTATGCACTGACATCTGCATATGCCAAACAATGGACCTGCCTCACCCTAGAGCTAACGCCATTCAACTTAGATCACCATTCATATCAGCCACCTCTCATCTTTCCTGCCCACATTTCCTTTATAATAACAGCTCCATCTTTCCCACCTAACACAACAGGAGGGTCACCAAGCTGCATTGTTTCTTTTTGATTAGTTTAATTAGCAATCCATTAGACCTCTGAATCACCGGAGGAAGCATCCAGAGCCCCGGCCCAAACCTTACTTTACACCCAAAACTCCACCCAAGAACATCTCCTGTTCCTCTTTGTCCATACTTGTGAACCCCATTCAGCATTCCCATACTCATTGTTTCATGGGGCAGTCACATTAGCATGCCTTCAGGTCCCATTTTTTCTGTAACTAGACAGGTGCAGCCCCATTGCTGTGTTTCCTGGATCCAAACCGCACACCCAGGACACTAGAAATCTTGCTCTTCCCCCTGGATCACTACACTCCTGGATAGGTAGCTATCACCCCAACACCCCCCTATATTTCCCATTAATGCCTTTATTTCTTAATTGGTCTTGTATGTGTGTTGCTTCTTGCGTGCTTTTTGTATGTTAGACTTCTTATTTTCTATCAAATAAAATCAATCTCCATTTTACCTTGGACTGGTTATTTGAGAGTTCTCAAAGGAAAAGATCCCCGTAAAACATAGGTGGAAGGATCTCGCTAGATTACTCTCCTCTTGCAAAGTTTTTGTCTCCTTCGCTAATTCCTCCAACTAAAATAGGAGACAGCACCCTTTTGGGGCAGCATAGATCATTTGGAGTAACACACCAACATAATCACATTATGCACTGACCTGCAGACCCGGGCTGGAAAATACAGTTTTTGCCATGACCGACAAAGATATCTGGAGTGATCAATTACACGAATCCAGTCCAGCTCATCCATAGACACTTCAATATAATAGGAGTAAGATCTAGGGACAGCAAAAATAATATGAAAAATGGAAATTATCAACATGATAATTTTACACAATATACTTAATTAATCCTAGAGGCTGACCACATTAAAGTCACATGAACTCCATAGGACAACATAAAGAAACTGTTTGGCAAATTATACATTTAAGTAGCAATATAAAATGTATTACTTTTTAATGCAACCAAGATTGCAGTTCCACAAAAATTATTTGCCACAGGTACATCTCCAGCTGAAATATAATTACATAATAAAAATACTTTGAGGTCTTTTTAATGGCCAAATTCACCATCTGAATAAAATGAAGCAGTCCCTCTTCAAACATGATGGAACATTAAATGAAGACATTTAACATGCCTAAGTCATAAAAAAATAATTTGTATTCCTCTTTCACAGTCTAAATTTAAACATGAACTGTAGTTATTTCTGCTACAACATCAGCAAGGAAACAGGAGAGATTTAGCAGAGCCTTAAACATCAGCATGCAGTGAAAAGAGACTGAAAGGGTGATATGTTTATTTTGTGTTGTAATCCCTTTTCCATTGCTTTTTCTCAGTAGCTCTCACCCTTATTACATCTCTTGATCTGAATAAATCATATCATATAAATCTCTGTTGATTTATCTTACAAACGAATCATTCTGACCTATTAGAAATGTGAATTTTCCTGGGAGTAAGACCCATAGAACATAGGATGATTTACTTCTCAGTATACATGCACAGAGTTGTGATTACAGCATCCTTGCTTTCTTACAGTAGAAAGTTGTTTGCTCCAGCTCACTAGTGTATGTTTTATTATTATCGTTACAGGAATTATACAAATATGCAGGAGGGGGCATACATACCTTTCGTATACATGCATAACTTTCATATACATACTTCCAAGAACTCCCTAAACTGAAGGTGAAGTACTGTATGCCCTACATAAATTGGCAAACAATTCCAAACTTGGACCCAGAGTACAGATCAAAAATATTTGCGTTATGGGGCCACACACAGATAGGGGAGATGGCGCTGTATATCTTGGGTAACTCTCAGGTTTGCAGAAAAATCTTAAGGTTTTTAAAAGGAGAGGATGAACTAGATTTTTTTTTTTCCAATGTTGAGATCTGGGGAGATTACCTAACAAAACTCTCAGCAAGTATTTTGGGCTGCGAAGGCAAATGCAGAGAAGTATCACAGATGTTATTATTATTTCATTTATACCCCACCTTTCTCCCCAGTGGGGACCCACGGTAGCTTCCATTGTTCTTCTCTCTTTGATTTTATGCCTCACAACAACCCTATGACACAGGTTAGGCTGAGAGTGTGAGACCAGCCCAAGGCACCCAGCAAGCTTCTACTGCAGAGTGGGGATCTGAACCCTAGATCTCTCAGAGCTCAGTCTGACACTCTAACCCAGTATGGCGAACCTTTCAGAGACCGAGTGCCCAAACTGCGACCCAAAACCCACTTATTTATCGCAAAGTGCCAACACAGCAATTTAACCTGAATATTGAGGTTTTACTTTAGAAAAAACTACCCATACATTAACTTAAGATGATCCAAAGAAAGTAAGGAAAGCAATCCCAAATGCTTTCATTTACTTAAAATTATTTGGCAGAGAATTCGACCCTTTAATGATGGTCTGGGCCTGGCTGGGACGATGGCACATGAGCCCACAGAGAGGGCTCTGAGTGCCACCTCTGGCACCTGTGCCATAGGTTCGCCACCACTGCTCTAACCTCTCTGTCTGCGGTTTCATAGAGTATCCACACTGGCTGCCAGTTTCATTTTGAAACTCAAGTTGAGTGGGAGAAAGAATGAACAGGCAGACATAACAAACCAAAAAGGAAAATGAGGGGAAACAAGCAAAACTGGAGCAGAGGGATGGAGAGAGGGCAGAAAAATCGAGAAGAGGGTGAGACGGGAAGCTGAGGGAGAGAAGGAAGCAGGGGAAAGGATGAAGCTGTGAGGGGGAGAGAAGGGGGAAAGCAGAAATTGTATGGCAAATGAGCAGGAAGGGATGGTGAGTAAAGGGAACCTCCATATACCGTGGCAGTAAACCTCTGAATACCAGTGCTAGATGGCAGCATCATAGGAAGGCTTTGGCCTCTATGCACTGTTTGTTGGTCTTCCAGGAAAATGTCTGGCCACTGTGTGAAACAGGATTCTGGACTAGATGGACCAGTGGTCTGATAAAGCAGAACCCTTGTGTTCTAAGTAAGCATTTTGGCACAAGTAATTTTAATACCAACACTTTATGGCAGTTTTCCCTGGCCTAAAGCATTTTCCTGAAATTAAGCAGACTTGGAACATACCTGCTATCACGGTCCCAGAGCAGTATTCGTATGTGGTTGATTATTGATGGTTGACCTAATTTAATTTCAATACCAGAATGGCAGTCGTCATCAATGGGATGCCGGGAAAACCCATGATCCAAATCATAGTTTTGCGTGTCTCCATCTAACAAAGCAGATTTCAATTCCCCTTTAACCACTTGGGCTCCATATTTCATAGTGGCAATGTTCTCACCTGGTACTGAAAGAAATGGGAAGGGGGCAAAATGAAAACATTTGCTTCAAAAAGGAAAGAAGAACAGCAATAAGTAAGCAACTATCTTCTTTGTAATTTTATTAAAGATTCACAGATAGTGGGCATGATCAAGCAAAAGACCACTGTGACACTGGAATGAGACACAGTACTACCCAAAAGTAAGTCCCACAAGTGTTAGTTGTACTCAGCCAAGCTAGCTTTTGTTGGATTGTACCCACAGTGTATTCATACATTTTGTGTTTTTTAAATGATGCAATATTCTAGAGATATTTTTATAGTCTTTTTAGAGAATTAATAAGGAAAAGAATATTGCTATTCAACCAACTTCCTGGGGAAAAAGAATAATTTCATACAAACTTTTCCTGAGTATTTGAGGCTTAGAATCAGTACTATAAAGAGTTACAGGTGATGCATTACTGTTAGCGCCATTTACCCAGCATCAATACCATATTTACTCAAAAGGAAGACTATCTTGAATGTAGGATGACCACCCTAACTAGAAGAGGTTATACATTAGAAAGGTATCAATATAAAGTTTTTTTATTACATAGTAATCAATATACAGTAAATACAGACTATAGAAGAAAATAATTACTTACACTTTTTGCACCTCTTTGCATTATCTGTTCACAAGCAGTATTGGATCACTGTTTCAAATTTAAAGAGGCAAGACACTGGCTTTTATAACTCTTCCCCACCCCCAGTTCAACTACTAGGCAAAGGTTCAGATAAACTGACTACCTGACAGGGCAATCCTAAACAGATATAGTCTTCTAAATCTCTTGAGATCAATGTCCTCGAAAGGTGTACCTCTCCTTAAGAATGCAGTGTTAACATCCTTGCCTTAACAATGCTTTCTGTAGGCTAGGAAGTCATTCTTTTTGTTATATCTCCAATCTAGCATCCTCTTGTGATGCAGCGTAGCTCTTAATTAAGGATGGGCACAAACTACATTATGAACTGAAATTCATCACAAACTGGGCTTGGTTCATGGTTTGCAAGCCTCAATTTGTGCAATTGAGTCTCCCATGAACCACATAAGAACATAAGAGAAGCCAATGTTGGATCAGGCCAATGGCCCATCTAGTCCCACACTCTGTCACACAGTGGCCAAAAATACCAGGTGCCTCTTTTTGCAGAGGTTTGTGAGGGTGGTGGGAGCTGTTCGTGGGCCAGACATGCCGGCACTGATTAATCAATCGTCCAGGCAATGGGGGGGGGGACTTCTCCAGCCCTGGAAACCCCAATAGTGCCCCTCCAAAGCTTGATAGGGAGCTCTGGTGGCTAAACAGAAAACTTCAATTTGCTTTAAACCTCTAATTTGCAGGGGGTCTGTTCAGCACACTCCTCAACCTGTGGCTGCTGTAATTTCCCCAGAGAACACTTTCCTAGGAGCACCTGCTTTGAGAGGCTGCTACTCGTTGTCCCCCCAGCCAATCTGCACTTGGAGGGCAGGTAGAGGGGCATCCTGGGGAGGTCTGCTGTGAATTTGATGCCTGTAGCTTGCAGGGGGGCTGTCTGACACACTCCCCTACTTTTGCACATTGGACCCTAGGATCTTCCCCTCCAAAAGCCAATCGCCACACAACTTCAAAGGCAGGTAGAGGGGTATCGTGGGGAGGTGCACTGTGAGTTTGATGCCTCTGGCTTACGGGGGGGGTGGCGTTCAACTCACTTCCCTTTTGCACTCTGGACCCTAGGATCTTCCCCCCAGCCAATCACCACATAACTTGGAGGGCAGGCAGAGGGTCATCCTGGGGAGGTCTGCTGTGAGTTTGATGCCTCTAGCTTGCAAGGGAGCCGTTCAACACATTGCTTCCCCTTTTGCACACTGGACCCTAGGCTCCCCCCCCCCACAGCCAATCTGCACACAACTTGGAGGGCAGGTAGGGAGGCATCCCAGGGAGGTCCACTGCGAGTTTGATGCCTCTAGCTCACAGCGGACCATTTTACTGTGCCGCAAACCTCACAAACCAGTTTGTTAAATGGGAAGGTTTGTGGTTCGTGAGATGCCACGAACCATGAACCTCCACTTTCCTGGTTCATGCCCATCCCTAGTCTTGATCTGCTGCCTGACTGCTGTGGTAAACAGCTGAAAGCGAAAAAAATGAAACTGCACCCAGACAAGACAGAAGTGATGCTGGTTGGAAAGGTGGAGAACTTGAAGGACACTGTGCTTCCCACTTTCAGTGGAGTTCAGCTGACCCTCACTTACCCTGTTAAGAGCCTTGGGTTATGTTCCCCCAACAACAGTGCTGGATCCACTAAGTTCATGAAGCTGCCCAAAATGCTTTCTTCCCACTCAATCTACACCATAAGATGGTGCCCTACCTTGGCTGATCTGGCCACTTGGATCCACACCATGGTAACATCAGGACTAGAGTACTGTAATGCACTCTACATGATAGGACATTTTGGAGGTCATTAATTCATAGGGTCGCCATAAGTCGGAAGTGACATAGCTAATGTTGTGCTAAACTGCTGTAGGTTCACGGGGTTTTTAAGTTTCTCTCTCCTGGGGGGAAAAAAGAGCAGGCTTTCTAGGCAACTCCAGCCTGAAGTGCAGGAGAAGAAGCAAAAGCTGCTGTGGGGTAGTATTCTGAACCAGAAACATGGGTCAGCAGAGGAGCAAATCCACCCCTACTGTTCCTACCTCTTCTTATCATTTGCCAGGCAAGGAGCTGCAATTTCTAAAACTAGCCAGCAAGTCTACCTGACTCCTGCTCTTTCCCCTTGAAATGCAGAGCAGCTTGAAAGGCAGTATTAGCAAGACTCTGTGTCCTTTTCACTGCCACTCCTCTCTGCTGGTGAATGAACTGGCATGCCTTCTCCAAAGCTCTCCCGACATATGCAGGGAATCACCCCTCACACTCAACGGATCTATATACCTGAGTGGAAAACCCCCACCGGTTTTTAAAGAAGGCCCAAAAAGGAAAAGGAAAAAATCACCCTTTCAAGTAAATACGGTAGTTAAGCCAAGATAGCTTTTAATTATAAGAAGACAATTAAAGCACTTCCTCTACAAGTTGGAAAGGTGATCAGCTTACTTAACATGCCCCTATAGTTGAGGTCCATGTCCCGACTTTCTGATCGAACTTTAATGGCATCCAAAATCGCATCAGGAGAGAGCAATCCAGAAGGCCTTACAACATTTAAAAGCTCTGTCAAGCTCATCAGTGGCAAGCGTACTGCCTGCATTATTTCAGCATGATTTTCCTTGGGGTTGTGTTTACACCAGTTCACCAAGGCTTGGAAAATATCCTTTTCAGGAGCTGCAAATGAATCTCTCAGTACAATACTGAGAAGAGCTGCCTAAAAAAAGAAAGAAAGATTAAGAGAATGTAAAGTCTCATTATATTTCACCAATGAGCTCTGAAAAAGGCACATACACAAAACTGTATACTTCCTTTCATCCTTTACATGCATTGTTCAATTCTAAAAAATTTCACAAGTTTGTAATCAACATATTCATACCCCAAATTCATCTTCATTTCTCTTGTTTTCAGTCAAAAATCCATATATATTCTTGATATAATCTTTCTGTGGAAACTCTATTACACATTAATAAATTTCTGAGCTTCCACTCTTCTGATTAAAACATGCATTGAAGGAAGGGATGACTGTGACAACATGTGCAGTTGGTGAAGAAAGTCTTCCCTGCTGAATCTGTCTTAAAGAAAAATGGCTGTAGCCTGCCTAGCTGAAAGCAGAGGAAGCAGCTCCCACTGCAGTACTCCAGATGGTTATCCTAAGAGGGAAAGGTCAGCTGAACAGGGCCAAAGTTGTATTCGAGCAGTGAGCATCATTCTACAATGCCTGTGCTGCTCACATGGCTTAGCAGTTAAGATGGCAGTGTTAATTTACAATTTCCACATTTTATTTATTTTTATCTGGGGGGAGGGGAATGTGAGTGCTTTAACTATTCTCTTAAACTGAAGGGTTTTTTAAAAAAATTATAGAATACATAACCTAGCTTCTTTATAAACTACGAACACTGTATTAAGTAAGTTTGTGAAACATCTAGGCCTAAATTCTCACAAAACCAATGGCTTACAAATGCATGCAAAAAGCTTACTCCCACGTTTGCTCCAAGGCCTTCCTATAAAAATCAATAATTTCAGCAAGGTAGCCATGTTAGTTTGTTGTGGCAAGATGCAACAGAAATCCAGTAGCACTTTAATGACTAATACAATTTATTACTGTATAATCTTTCACAAGTCAGACCTCAGTTCATCAGATGGCATGGGGTGGACACCCATAGAAGGTATACTAGCAATGTAACCAATAGTTTTTGCCTAACTTTCCACTGGTATAACATATAAAACTACAGAAGAAGAAATGTAATTTCTGTAATACTGTACAATCTCAATAACAAAGTCTTTGAATTATGAAATAAATTATAGAAATATGGTGAGAGTGGGCTTTATAGCAGTCTGGTAAAAAAATAACAATCCGCTACCAAGCCCAATCCAGAGTTGCAGACACCTGCTCCAAACCATCATGGTGCTGCACTGACACAGCAGTTCATATTAGGATAAGGTGGTAGGCAGCACAGATAGCTTGCCGGGCCCACCAAAGCTTCTGCCCACCCTGTCAACACCAAGTGCCAAAAGTAGCAGCCAAAAGGAAGAAAGCAGCCACTAGCACAAGTCATTCAAAGGGTTCTGGGGAATGTCTGTGTGGGTTTTGAGTTCTCTGTGCTGTGTATTCATTGGCTGTCATCTGAACCATAGAATCTCAGCCTCAGCACTTCTGATCTGAAAACATATTAAATGACTTCCAGAAGGTGATATAAACGCTTTAATGTTAATTACCTGACTTTCAATAACATACTGCATTTCTATATGTGTGACAAAATTGTGTAAATTTTAGTGTTTTCAAATTATATGCCCTTTTAGTGCTTGCTTGGGGTTTATGGCAGAACACAAATCCGTACTTGCCATAAATCTACCTGTATTGGCCTGCTGGTCAATACCTCTTGGTGTAAATTGTAAACACATGGAATAGCTATGCAGATTAGATTAATGATGTATTTGCTGGTGGCTCTGAATTTTTTCTCTCAGTTCTGCCCTTTGGCACATGTTTCTACCCAATGACCCCACTGCCTCTGTATGTGGGCCTCATCCCTTGCAAGATTTGTGTCTTCAATGAGTTGGCAACCCAATGAAGAATCCCAGGAGTTGAGGAAAGAATAACAAGAATGAACCATTAATGGAAACACAAAAGATACAAAATACTAAGAGGAAAACCAAGGCAGAGAAGAACCGCAAAACCCAAGGATAATGCTAAGAATGATCACTAGTCATAAATGAAAGGTTTAAAAAAAAGAGGACAGAAAGAAGGAAAATGAGAGAAAGAAGGCAAGGGGAACAGAGAAGGAAAAGCATAGAAAGCAAAGGTTAACAGAAACAGAGAAATGGACAACAGGTGAATTATCATGAAGACAAACAACTGAGAAACTGGAGAGGGAAAGAAAAAAGAAGGATAAAGCAAAGAATTAACAGAAATACTAAAGAGAAAAGGATGAGAAGAAATCAATTTTTAAAAATAGAACTGTTTAGCAGAAGAAATAATGTACGAAAAAGAGACAAGTGCAAATTAACTTGATCAGCAAAATCTGGGTTTGTGCCATAAACATTTAGCATCCCAAGCCCCTCTAGGGAAGTTGCAAAAAGAACAGCAGAGGAGACAATTGTGAGGGGAAATCAATATTAAGAGCATAAAGGTCTCTCAGAATTTGGTAAGCAGGTCAGACAAAACAGAATCCAAAAGGAGCACATGGATATCAGACAAGTGGGAGAATTAATAAAGAGATGAGCAAAAGAAAATATTTCCAGACCCATGATGTAACATACAATGTAAGATGGAGGTTGAAAGCCAAACAAAAACCAAGCCTAAGATTTAACCGAAGCATCAAAATCATCAGTGTAGATATTAAATCTACACTGGCTTGGATCCTGCCTTGGATCCTGGGGTAAATCTCAGATAACAGAAAGCATTTCTGTAGTAGAAGATAACTTCCTTGCCTCCCCTCCCACCAAAGCCCAGAATTCTCCAGGGGAAAGAAGCCACTCCCCTCCCCAGAACAGCATGAAGGGGAAATCAGGAAAACATTTCCCCCCTTCCATTAGGCAAGATTTACCATGGATACAAGCTTGTATCAAGACTCTCAGATTCTAGGCATCTTGAACAGCATCAGTTTAAAGTGCACCTTTAAATAGATGTAACTACATTTAAAATGTTATCGTTTCCTACATGTTGTCTGAGTGAGACATTTAATTTAAGAATAGGTGTCTGAAGCAGACCCTGAAACCTATATTATGAAGATGATACCACAGCAGTTATTGTTCTGTACTGCAGACTTGAGCTCAAGCAAATACTCTTGCTATCTTAAAATGATGTAAAAAGCTATTTACTGAACTACATAATTTTAATAATTAATTCATCTTCTTCCGGTTCTGTTTTAGCTTTCACTACCATATTGATTCTGTAGTAACAGCTTTGTTAATCTAATCATGTTTTTGTATAATTGATTTTACATTAAGACAGACTGTAATAATTACTGCACTATGTGCATTTCTGAGTCACAACAAGATTTCTACAGTTCTTGCCCCTCACTTTCGATCTTTACGAGACAGCTGAAGAGGACTTTATTTAGGACTGCATTTGATTAAGTTTACTAGAAGACTTAAATTGTGATTTTAATTTTTTTACTGTGTTTTATAAACTGCCTTCAGCTCTGTAAGGAAGAAAGGCGGCTCAGAAATGTTTCAAATAAATAAATATGGCTTCTCTTCTTCCTTTTTATGAAGGTCACGTTATACTAAAAACAGAAGTGCAATTTCAGTAAACAAACACTTCTCTGAGAACAGACTGCTGATCAGAAATTTTGGCCTGGATCCTAACTAGCACAAAAAGAGCTGTACTCGGGGCTTTTTTTGTAGAAAAAGCCCAGTAGGAACTCATTAGCATATTAGGCCACACCCCCATGCCTTCCCTTGGCTTGCCCGAGTGCCCTGCGGCTGCGGGGTGCCCAGGCAAGCCCCCCCCCCTTGAAGGGAAGGTAGTTTAAACTGCCTTACTTTGGCTTGCCTGGGCGCCCCGCAGGCCCCCCCAGCCTACCCACCTCAGAGTTGCCGGGGGAGGGGTCGCTCTTCAGGCCTTCCCTCTGTAGCCACGCACGCAGAGGTTTTGGCTGTAGTGGGCATGGCCTACTCTGAAGCCAGCCGGAACTCCGTTCCTGCGCGTTCCTGCCCAAAAATAGCCCTGGCTGTACAAGACGAAAAGAAACCTTCCCATCTTCCCCTTCTCACTGCAGACTTCTGTCCCGCAAAACTGTGTTCCTGGAGGTCAGTGGACCTCCAGGAACAAAGTGTGTGGTGAAGCAGGGATCTGCAACGGCAAGAGAGACTCACCAAAAATCTCACTCCACTTCTATGGGCAGAAGTTAAGATTAGAGGCATTTTCTTTATTTAACAAAGTGACAAACACACCCATTAAGAAATCTCAGGGGGAAAAACTTATTCTAAAATAATGAGGAAGAAGGCAGGATAAGATTCATTTGTTTTAAAGATTTCTGCAGTCCAAACTTTATTGTATTGTTCACTGGATGCCCCATCCTATTGATTATACTTGATTTACACTATATAATCCAATTTGAGTCTCAACGAGAAAGGTGGAACAACAACAACCTTAACTAAATAAATAAAGAAAAACCTGAAGCCTTTTTCTTATAATAAAAAGCAGTTAATTTTGTTCTTCTCATCTTGGAACTATTGTCAGCAAATTTTATATGGACATCGTGGCAGCTGAAAGTGAAAGCCAAAACTGTTCTATCAGAAGGCTGCCCAATTATCTAATCCTTAGTTGAAAAAAAGACAGACTATTGTAAAATAATTGTCTCCCATTTATAAATACTGTACACATGGTGTGAAGCTGCTGCAAAGGTCAAAGTTTTGCTATACATTTAAAGCAATACTTGAGATAGCATTTAATACACAGTTTTATCTACACCCCCCTTTTTATACCCATTCTATGGAAACTTCCACCTACAATTACATCTTCTAAGAAATCCAAATCTGTTTTGCTAATTTCACATTTAAGCCTAACCAACAGCATGCCCACCATTAATTATTTCAAGGTTAATGACATGGGAAGACAGGATAAATAGGGAGGCATTAATAGTTATGGGTACACTTTTGAACTCCCCTTCTGTATTCACAGCAAACAAGATGAAGTATCAGGGAAATAAGTTAAACAAAGTTCTACACCAAGAATCAAGCAAACCAACTTCTGGGCTTTGGCGCTTTAAAGATGGCCGCGTCTTCTCGCAGCTCCAAGAGACGGGTGCCATGAATCAGAGGATAGGAGAGGGTGCGATTGTCCGCACTCCCCATGGAGCCCTTGGGCAATGGGCTCCTAGCCAGGGGGCTTTTGGAGAGCCCTTCCTTCGGCCAATGGCCGACATAGGGGGGCTACTCTCTGCCTCGAAGGTCCTGCCCTGATTCCCAGCATTGGACTCAAAGTGCACGCTGGGACAAGCGTATGAAGGTTTGGCGATTTAACTCTGCCCAGTGAGATCCCAGGGAGACCTGCTGGATCATCCTGAAGACTGATGAGTGAGTTAAAGTTGCAGCGAGACATCAAAGCCCTGATGCGAACCCCCCCCCCAATATAAGCGGGGGGAGGGGACGCCCTACCCCCTAAACGACCTAATGAAGCGGAAACACAATGGGGGGGACTGAGCATGCAGTAGCATGGATTATAACAGAAGGACTAGAGCAGAGAATTCTTCCAAAAAAGAAGCATTTACAGACCTCTGAGACTTTGGCAACTTTGTTCGGTAAATGTAAACATCCCCCCAAGATGGCGATCGGAGGCACTGAGGAAGGCGGGACCCAAACTTTCCTCAGGAAGCAGGAGATCAGAGAGTTAGGTCAGGTGACCTAACCATAGACTCTTCCTACAGTTTAAAATTGATTGCCCTCTACTGGCTAAAGCGGCGTATTGAACGGAATTGGCTCTAAATGTTGCTGTATTTTTAAAGGGACAGTGTCTATAACAAGAAGCAGCAAATCTTTGATCATAGAGGAAATTAAGACTGTATGGAGACTCTAAAGTTTAGCTTATATTGGATGGTTGCAGGCAGATTAAAAAGCGATTTTGGAGCAAAGGGCTTGGCCACCCTTACTTCATAAAATCTGCCTGCTAAGTGAATGGTCGGATTCTCCAACAAGAGTGCGTCGGAAGCAACAAAAGGAAGGACTCTTATGATCTAAGACAAGCAAGAAAGCAAATGCAAGTCCTGGGGAAAGCGGTCCTAATTGGACAGAGCCTGTTATATAGAAGCTGAAAGTGAAAGAAGATTCAACAGAGAAGGAAGAGGATAAATCTGTGTGATTGTATGGAATGAGGAAACCTTGGCTCCATAATGTTATGTTTGGGGGGGGGCGGAAAGCGTATAGGGAGATGTCGACGTCTCTCAAGGTCTATATTTTTGTTACTTAGCTATGGAATTACTCTTTGTCTAGCCTGATAAGCTGGTTTTGACAACTGAAGCGATGATTGATGATACTCCTCATGTCTGAAAGTAACTGTTAAGAGTAACAAATATTTTTTATAAGCAGTTTGTAACCTTCAACACTTGGGCTTTTAATGCCTTCTTTTTCTTTCTCCCATGGTTTGTAGTTTTCCCTCCCCATTTCGTTGTAGTTTTGTAGTTTTTTTTAGAAATGCAAATAAAAAAATCCCCTCCGGGGGCCAAAAAAAAAAGAATCAAGCAAACCTATAACATGAACTAATGTACTTATTTTGCACAAATATTTAATGTCAAGAAGTTATGAAAGCTTTCAAATAAATAAGTGGGGATAAATAAGAACAGTAAGATGATGGAAGCTGGGCAACTTTTTCCCGTGAATATGCCAGCTGCCTCTTTCAGACACTTTCTCCTTATTTTCGACAAAATGTTCACAATCACCAGTACAAGAAATCTGATTTATTTTCAAATCAAAATATTAAAATGGATACATACCTTAGACAGTGACAGGAAGCCTTCACTAGCGAGCACCTCTTGAGCATTTCTGTCCATAAACATGCAGCACATACAGGTCAGTTTGGGAAGTGAGTAGAGACTTGCAACATCATAGGTCATGCAAACATTCTGAATGTTAAGAATAGTGCAAAGATATTCAGAGGTGGAATCTTCCAGTTCAGGGAATCCATATTTATGAGCCAAACTCAAGAAGTCTAAGAGGACCTCCTCCTTCTCATCTCTTAATGTGGCACGACCCGTGTAAATATATTTTAATAACATTGTAAAGGCTTCTGCAGTGGTGTCTTGGAGAGGAATTTCTGCTTCAGGCTGAGATTCACGCATTCCACCATACAGCAGTGCTCTGTAGAGATGCAGAAAGAGAAAGAAATAATATTGAGAAGTATACATTCTAATAATAAGAAACTTAATGTAAGTCCTTAACAGACAAAACACATCTAGCATAGCTTTAGAATTTCACATGCAGGCCCTGACCTGGATAGCCCAGGCAAGCCTGGTCTTGTCAGATCTCAGAAGCTAAGTGGGGCCGACCCTGGCAGGTACTTGGATGGGAGACCTCCAAGGAATACCAGGGTTGGAACGCAGAGGCAGGCAATAGCAAGCCACCTCTCTGAAACATTCAAGCCCCACTAGGAGTTGCCAGAAGTCAATCATAACTTCTAGGCACGCGCACGCGCACACACACACAAATACAAAAAATTAAATTAAATTTTAAAAAAAGAATTTCACATGCAAGAGGAAATTCTGCAGTTCAAATACAATTTCCTAGCACTAGATCTGAGTACCTGTTAAAACACCCATGCATAATACATAGGTGTCTGACAGAAGGTTGCTCTTGGGGAATGGTTGTTCCACTGACACAAAGTAGAACTGCAATAACTAACTAACTTATTGTCCAAAGATTTAGATTCTTGCAAATACAGTAATAGCCTCAGTGGTTTTCTACTATGCTTTAATAAAATATGTAGGAAAAGTCACAGCAGCAACATATTATTTTAAGGTCAATTTATTATTTACCATGTGAATCAACTGAAAGGAGTCTACACTCTGGTTGCAGAATATAACAAGATGGTCAGATGTATTACACAGCCAGTTACAAAGTTAAATAGAAGAGAACTTGTGTGTTAAAAAATGATTGTGTAAAATAAAACTGTGGGGCTGTATGGTCACCATCTCATAGATGATTAAGGAGAGAGAAGACAGAGCTAATTTTTCTCTAAAGTATGAGAGCACTTTTCCTAACAGCAAACTCAATGGTCCCATGACTATCAATAGGTTAGTGAAATAGGGCTACAACAGGAAGGGTAAAGGTTTCTGCATACTCAAAGGATTCTCCTGTTAGCAGTCAGCCCCCTCCTCCTGCAGAAGGGCAGTCTTACACTATGGGCACCCCTCTTTATTATCACCTCCAACAAAAATCATAACATACAGCTATTGCCTGGCCTGAAATGGCACACAAAATGGATCTGATACAAACAAGATGGATGCCACAAAGAGTTGAGCCTAGGGGCACACACGCCAGACTGCCCCAGAGCTAATTTTTCCTATGACTCGACACACTCTGACCCATGCAGTGTGTGTGTGTTCGCTCAGCGCCAAACATCACACCCCTGCTCAATCATGGGCTTCTTCCTTCTCTCCAGGAAACACTGGCCATTTCTCTTGCTGCATTCTACAAACCTCCAAGACTTGGTAAATTTTGCCTTTCCTGAATCACTCTCCCCACTACTTCCTTTTATTTTTCCTTTTAGATTGTTTATTAGTTTATTTATTCCCCAAATATCTACCCCGCTCTCCCAGCTGAAGCTGGCTCAGGGCAGCTTACGTAAAACCAGCATACAATTACAATAAAACAATTGAAAAATTTAAAACAGTATTAAAACCAATTAACAATAACATAATAAGTGCTAGTATTGTTATTAAATCAACGATGCCTACCATATCAGCTCTCTCTTCCCATAACTGGCTCGTAGGTCTCCTGCAGTTGTCTTTCAGGTGGCTGGCACAGGCTGTTAGTACGAATTCCAGAGGCAACAGGGCTTCCTGTCCTAGTTGTTAATGGTGGCGGCGGCTCCAAAAGCCTGGCAGAAGAGCTCCACTTTACAGGCCCTGCGGAACTGCAAGAGGTTCCGCAGGGCCCTGGTCTCTTCTGGGAGCTCATTCCACCAGGATGGAGTCGCCACCGAGAAAGCCCTGGCCCTGGTTATCAACAGCCTGGCCTCCTTAAGACTCGGGAGTGCCAATCAGTTCTGGGCCCCTGAACACAGTGCTCTCTGGGGAATATGTGGGGAAAGGCGGTCCCTCAGGTATGTAGGCCCCTGACCATAAAGGGCTTTAAAGGTAAAAACCAGCACCTTGAAACAAATTTGGTATGCTATCAGCAGCCAGTGCAGTGACTTTAGCACAGGTTGGATGTGCTCCCGGACTGAGAGTCCCATTAAAAGCCTGGCCACAGCATTTTGCACCAGCTGCAGCTTCCGGATTAGAGACAAGGGCAGCCCCATGTAGAGAGCATTACAGTAGTCCAGTCTCAAGGTGACCACTGCATGGATCACTGTTGCCAAGTCGTTGTATTCAAGGAAGGGAACCTTCCTAATCAGCCGAAGATGATAAAAGGCTGACTTGGCAGTGGTTGCTACCTGGGCCTCCATTGTTAAGGAGGCATCCAGGAGCACTCCCAGACTCCTAGCCTCCGGCGCTGGCACCAAGGGAGCCCCATCGAAGGTCAGAAGCGGGATCTCTACCCTTGGACCACCCCAACTCAGGCAAAGGACCTCCATCTTCATCAGATTCAATTCCAGCTGACTTAGCCTAAGCCACGGCTTGTAGTGCCCGGTCTAGATCTTCCGGTTTGGAGTCAGACTGATCGCTCAAGAACAGATAGAGCTGGGTGTCATCCGCATACTGGTGACATCCCAGGGCAATTAGTTTGTGTGTTCCCCATGTGCTTTGGGTTTATGTTTTGTTCTTTTTCCTTCTTTGATAAAACACCTTTCCTGTTGTACTTTCACCTGGTTTATTTGAGAGTTCTCAAGGAATAATCCCTGTAAACACTGATGGAGATCCCCTAGTTACCCCCTCTCACTCGTCTCCAGTTATGCTAATTCGGAAGGTCGGTAGTTCGACAGTTCGAGACCCGAGTGCCGCATGACGGAGTGAGCTCCCGTCTCTGGTCCCAGCTCCTGCCAACCTAGCAGTTCAAAAGCAAGAAACTGTAAGTAGAAAAACAGGTACCACTTCGGTGGGAAGGTAACAGCGTTCCGTGCGCCTTGACATCTAATCATGCCAGCCACATGACCATGGAAACGTCTTTGGACAGCACTGGCTCTTTGGCTTAGAAATGGAGATGAGAACCGCATCCCTAGAGTCAGATTTGACTGGCTTTTGAGCAAGGGAAACCTTTACCTTTACCTAAAAATACGAACTCCTAACACCGTACAGTATTAATGAGAGGGGAGGGAGGAAAAGGAGGTTAGGGTATGTATGCCACACCTCTAGGATGCTGCAAGTTTTTCAGGACTCTGAGATAGCTGCTTTGAAGCTAAAGAGTTTAGGGGAGGAGTTCAGAGTTGTAGGAAAAGGACTTCCTCCAATTCTTATCAAATCACATTTTCTATCTACACTTCTGCTACAAAGAACGCAGACTCTCAACATCTTATAGTATCCTGAAATTAAAGTCGGGAGAGGAATTATAGTCAGGCAATATGGGATCAACCCGAATTTCCTCCTACCCAATGATCCCAATACAGCTTTTGGAGATAAGAATACTCCCCGTACACACATGCAGACCATGCTGTACTATCCATATTCAGGTTTAGATGAGCAACTCCCTGTTCAGGAGTCAACAGTGCAGAGCAATTTTGCTATAGCACAGACTTCTGAGATTCAGAACCTGATACTCAAGAATTTTACTCTTTACACTATGAAGAGTGGAGAATTTCCCAGCTACTTATTCCTTGGTTGAGTTCAGACTGGCAGTTTGAAGTGGGAGAGAGTCACGGCAAAAAAGAGCCAGAACAAACTGTTCCAGGTTTTCCTGGTCACACTGCGTGGACTGATGTGGGAGCGTATGGGGAGGAGGCGCGAGGGAGCATTCACACTGTTGGCCTGGAGGCACGGCTGTAAGCGGCGTTTTCCTTGCGGCAAATGCCTATGCATGGACACCTATGTGCATAGGCGCAGCAGCAAATAGGGCAGGATCCGGCCGCTGTGGGCCATAGGCACATCCAGCCACATCACTATCTTCTCTTCAAGGCAATCACCTGCACCTTCCTGGTGCCAGAGTGAGGCTAGGAGTTCAGTCAGCGTAAACAGCCAACGCACATTATTAATGCGGGCGTATAGAAAAAGGCTTTTCTAAAATCCTCCCTGCTTGGGCCAAATGGCCCTAGCTGGTAACACTACCGCATTATTCCTGTCAACTGTGCAAATAGCTTGCCAGATGGCCAGGCCGCATCTCCATATACAAGACACTTTGACACCTCTGCCAAGAGAGAGTGACTTGCCGGTGCCTTCCCAAGCATGGGACGAGCTATGCTCAGTACATTAGCACATCAAAAGCATTTCCTGACATGACACATGGTCAATAGAAGAGGCTGGAGTGGGATGCCCAACTCTGAGCCAATCAAAACATACCTTGCCTGACAACGCATGGTAACCAGAGATTGGAACACCTTCCCACTCTCTCACTACTGGGTAAATGGCCATGTGGGGGAGGGGGGGGGGGGGGGGTATATCTGCAATGATCCATATAGGAAACAGAGGAGTAAGGAAAGTTAAGTGAGTTTCTCTCTGGAAAACAAAGAGTTCTTTTGGACTGCCTGCGTGCTTGTCAACTGTTTACTGTTAACATGGAGTGAGACTACTAGGCAGCCAAGCTGGACTTAGCTGCCCACAGCACCAAGGGGTTCCTTTTCAAGATCCCCTGGTGAGACCTTGGACTATTTCATCTGATACCTCTAAACGCCTGGTAACTATGGAATAACTCTATTGTGTAGTTAGAGCTGAACAAGCAATAGATATCATTTGGTTTCTTATCTTTTGCTAGTCTCATGTTATATGCATGCTTGTGCACTGAATAATGAAAATATCTAATCAATATTATCTGGACCTGTTTTCTCTGGTGCAACCTGATCTCTAAGGCTGAATCTTGTGCCTAAAGCCGTTCGCCTAAGGAGGCTACCACTGTGGTACTTAATTGCTTGCAGCCCTGGTGCAGAGCTGGTAAAGTGGGTCAGTCCAATAAAGCAAGAAGGAGTTTGGGATCTCTGCTCCTGAGCTGTGGCGTGGGACTGGTTAATGAGAGATTCTGGTGGCAGACTACCGATAAAGCCTGGAGAGTGTACAGACATTCTCCTGGCGTTTAATTGTTCCAGAACGCTTGGTTTCTCTCCCCATCCCTGGACTGGGGTGAGGGAGAGAAACCTTGACAGCGGGTTGTTCCCGGCTTTTAGCGGTTAGTGTTCACACTTCTGGGAAGTGGAATGAAGTGGGGTAAACGGGCTCTCCAGGGTATGCTACCACTTTCACCAGGTATCTTTTAAACCCAGGAGGCAAGCGCTACAAGATGGGTTGAGTACGGGTGGGGAATGCCGGACAGATGTGCCTGTGTGAATGACCCCTTTAATCCGCTTGTGAATCGTTCCTCACACGCACCTATATCGGGGCAAACTGCCAGTCTGAACTCGGCCCTTGTGGCCCCATCTTATTACATTTTAATAATCAACTTGCAACACTAGTTTATTTATCATTTTAAACCTTGCTCAAATGATGCCAAAAACCATTAACTGAAATAAATATCAGCCTTTAGAGTCATACTCGCTAAAGCACATGAAAACAGAAAATAACATAAGTTTTTCTTCTATGATAAGCTGAATATTCTGCACACTAAGACATTAGTGTAATTAGCCCCTGTACACTAAACGTCTCCAGAAATAGACATAGAATAGGAAGGTGTCTGGAATTTTATTAGGGACTTAATCAGAAATTAAAATTAAACTAATTACACATACCAAAAAGGAGCATAAATTATATTTCATAAGAAAGTGAGACAGGCAGCTGGCTTTCCTAAATGCTATAATCATAGGAAAAACAACGGATGTGGTGCAGTTGGGTAATTTGAGATTCTGGATAACAGTCTTACAGGGCCCTGCTTTAAATAGTAATGTAAACTTCAAATATGAAACTACTGGTGACTGGGAGGAATTCTGCTGGACCCATGAGCTAGAACTTCTAACACCACTACCGAACAACAATATATACAAAACATTAAAATGTGGCATTTCGAGGTAGAGGGGGAGAGCGAGAACAAATTTATAAAAAGAGTGAGGAAAAGATAGCCTCTATCACAGCAGGCTTCATAATCAAGTGCCTACCCTGAAAGAGCTAAAAGGACACACCCAAATATAAGAACAGGTTTCAGCATACTCCATGGGAGTGCAGAAAATATCAGTTTGTACATTAAAAACAAGACTCCCCCCAACCTTGACATGATGATGCCTGTGCTTAGAATACTGAGAGCAACTGAATTAATTATATGGGGAAAATAAAATGGGGTGGGGGGATGCAGAAGCTTCTAAAAGCTTGTATGAATGAAAAAATTGGGGAACAAAATTTCCAAATAATTTAGTCCCGCCCATGGGCCACCAACTTGTACTTCAAAAAAGCAACTAACACATTGCAGATGTGTGAAATTCTGAACTTTAGTCCATCTTGAATATATAATATCTGAAATAACTGTAATGAAAGTCAGAATATGACAGCCTAACACAGGCATCTTCTCACAAAGTGGAAACACTGTGACTTAACAGAAAGTGTTGACATCAGTATGTTCCTTAAAGGTAAAGGTTCCCTTGCTCGAAAGCCAGTCGAATCCGACTCTAGGGTTGCGGTGCTCATCTCCGTTTCAAAGCCAAAGAGCCAGCACTGTCCAAAGACATTTCCGTGGTCATGTGGCCAGCACGACTAAACACCAAGGCGCACGGAACGCTGTTACCTTCCCACCGAAGTGGTACCTATTTATCTACTTGCAATTTCTTGCTTTCCAACTGCTAGGTTGGCAGGAGCTGGAACTAGAGATGGGAGCTCACTCCATCATGCGGCACCCGGGTCTGGAACTGCTGAACTACTGACCTTCCACAGCCTGCAGTTCAGTGTCTTAACCACTTGAGCCACCGCAGCTCCTATTTTACCTTTCTAGCACAAAAACTCAGAGCACATATGATAGAAAGCCTGAAATATTTCACCTGAAATACTGACACCTCGCTGCCAGAATCACTCTGTGAGCAGGAAAACGTTTCTTTTCGACGATGAAGGTAACATCGCTGTACTCTTCCCCATTCATCAAAACACCAACATGATCAGAGAGAATGTGAACATGGTCAATTTCCCCTACCGCTGTGTAAGGACGGAGAGGGTGACTGTTACTCATCTTGTAGAAGAAAAGTATACCCTACACCTGTAAGAATAAAGCATAAGGACATGAAAGAAGTACACATTTTGAAGTCTATTAAAAATTAACAGATGTAAACAAAATCACATTTTCATTCAATGAATGACTAGTATGAATGCCATTTTGCTAAAATAAATTCCCAGTTTAATGGAAGCAGATGTCAGAAAAATGTTGCCAATCTAAGCACTCCAAATAAACAAGCCCTTACAAAACAAATTAGAAGAAAGAAAATCATTAGCTAACAGGGTTTCCACATAGCCAGCCAACTCAGTAATTATAATGCCCTGTACAAGTTAAATTGATTCAGTAGCCAGGGCAGATCAATTAAGATCCATATACCAGTGCTCAAATTAAATACTGAAATCCACACCAAGAGTTTTCATCTATAATTACCTAGAATATGCGTATTTATGACCTATTCTCACAGGACTCTGATTAACTCTCCAAAACTGAGATCACAGTGATTTTCAATTATTAATATAGGAAGCCTTTTCAAAGAATCATGTTTTATATGGCAGAGATACTAATAAGTCCTTGAAGAGCTCTACTGGGAAAGTCTCTGTGCCCAGTGTGCTTTCAGACTGAAGAAGCTTTTACAGAAAAATAAACCTCCTGCTCTTTACTGGCAAAGCCTAAAAGATGTCCCAAGGGGTGAAGTGGCATTTGCAAAACATATGCTTTAGCCATTTCATTCTGTTTGCAATACCCACGTGGTGCATAATTTGAAACTGTATTTTTTGAACTTCAAATCGCACTTTGAGGAGGATAAAGCTCTGTGCATATTTAAATAAAATATATATCTTCACATGAGAACTTTTTATCTAAGGAGTCCCAAACCCTAGAACATCCCTTTGATTCTGTCTAGATATCATTGCTACATTTTCAAGCTTGAAGTATACTTCACAAAAACAGCTTCTTCACTTAGATGACTTGAAAATGATATTGAGGATTGGTAAAAGCAACTTGAGACTAACCTGAAATGCCATGCGCTCTCAGGCAAGAAATATCAAGCTACAGAAATAGGCCCCATGAGTGTGTCTGGCAGCAAGGATAAGATTTTACTTGTTCATGTGAACAGTAGCCAAGTAAATACATAGGCTTTATTAGCTCAAAAAACAAGCTTATACAAACTGGGCTTGAATTACACATCTTTGGACTTTATGAACATGCAAACAGAGCCCTGTGTTCAGGTCCTGGATACATTCGCACTTACATGAGTTACAGGCAAAACACACACAACACATGAAAAATCTCAGAAGCAGAAAAGTATTTTCAAGTGACACAAAAATGCAAAAACGAATATATTTTTAAACCAACAGTTTAAGATCTTCTTGGATGTTTTAGAGTTTTAAGACTTACTAAAACCCATCAAAGAGCCTCTGAAGCAGTACTTGGTCCACTGCTTTTTAACTTGTTCATTAATGATTTGGAGATGGGAGTAAGCAGTGAAGTGGCTAAATTTGTGGATGATACAAAGTTGTTCAGGGTGGTGAAAACCAGTGAGGATTGTGAGGCACTCCAAAGGGATCTGTCAAGGATGGGCAAGTGGGCGTCAACATGGCAAATGGGGTTCAATGTGGCCAAGTGCAAGGTGATGCACATTGGAGCCAAAAATCCTAAATATAAATACACATTGATGGGGTCTGAACTGGCAGAGACTGATCAAGAGAGAGATCTTGGAGTTGTAGTGGATAACTCATTGAAAATGTCGAGACAGTGTGTGACTGCAATAAAGAAGGCCAATGCTATGCTGGGGATTATTAGGAAGGGTATTGAAAACAGATCAGCCAATATCATAATGCCCCTATATAAATCAATGGTGAGACCTCATTTGGAATACTGTGTGCAGTTCTGGGCACCACACCTTAAAAAGGATATTATAGCTTTGGAAAAAGTGCAGAAAAGGGCAACTCGAATGATAAAAGGGTTGGAACACTTTCCCTATGAGGAAAGGTTAAAGCGCTTAGGGCTCTTTAGCTTGGAGAAAAGACGACTGAGGGGTGACATGATCAAGGTTTATAAGATTATGCATGGGAAAGAGCAGGTAGAGAAAGAGGTACTTTTCTCCCTTTCTCACAATACAAGAACTCGTGGGCACTCCATGAAACTGCAGAGCGGTCGGGTTAGAACGGATAAAAGGAAGTACTTCTTCACCCAAAGAGTGATTAACACATGGAATTCACTGCCACAGGAAGTGGTGGCGGCTACAAGCATGGACGGCTTCAAAAGGGAGTTAGATAAGCATATGGAGCAGAGGTCCATCAGTGGATATTAGCCACAAGGTATAGATAGGGGCTCTGGGGCAAGTGATGCTCTGTCTTCTTGGTGCTTGGGGGGGTCAACAGTGGGAGGGCTTCTAATGTCCTGGCCCCACTGCTGGACCTCCTGATGGCCCCTGGTATTTCTGGCCACTGTGTGACACAGAGTGTTGGACTGGATGGGCCTTTGGCCTGATCCAACATTGGCGTCTCTTATGTTCTTATGTTCTCTTATGTTCTTATGACCTGTGTTGCAGCAATGGTAACTATGGGTGCAAGCTCATCCAGCGGGCAAGCCTACACCCACTGTCAGAGAAGCCGAAGTCCAAGCTGAGCAGTCCCTGGGGCTCTGCCAGGACCACAGGGGCTGCTTGGATCAGCTTGCTCCACAGGCTGTTTTAACGTCCCAATTCATCCCTGGAAAAATCGGGTATACAGAAGCAAGCTCATTGCAGATAATATAGGGGTAATGAAGAACTAAGAGAGGCTCTAGGTATGCATGACTTAGCTAAAATTTCACATTCTGTACTCGGTTTACAACTTGTATGCATTTTAATATAGCAAGAGGGCCACTATGCAGAGGAAGGCAATAGCAAACCACCTCTTTTTGTCTAAAACCATACGGGGTCACCGTAAGTCAATTGTGGCTTGATGGCACTTTCCACCACCAACAAGGTATTCATAATCAGACCAACAACAGCTTGTAGTTACTGGGCAGAACACTGTTTTTCTTCATGGAACAGGAAACTATGGCTAACAGAGTTTTGTCAAGAGAATACACTGGTCCAGGGGTCATTTCATAGAAAAAGAGCTAGGGGGACTCATTAGCATAACTCATTAGCATATGCCACACCCCCTGACATCACCGGAAGTGTGTCCTCCCCACAGCCGGCGGCGACCTCCAGCGGGCACCAGCAGGAAGCTCCAGGCCCCGCCCTCCCGCACCTCACCCGGGGGGATGGCGTCCCCCCGCGTCCCCCCAAAAAATGACCCCTGCACTGGTCATAGCGAACACCCTCTTTCAACAACCTAAGAGGCGACTCTACACATGGACAACACCGAAATCAGACTGATTATATAATCTGCAGTCAAAGATGGAGAAGCTCTATACAGTCAGTAAAAACAAGACCTGGAGCTGACTGTGGCTCAGATCATGAGCTACTCATTGCAAAATTCAGGCTTAAACTGAAGAAAGTTGGGAAAACCACTAGGACATTCAGGTTTGACCCAGATCACATCCCTGATGAATATACAGTAGAGGTGAAGACTAGGTTTAAGGCGACTAGATTTGATAGACAGAGTGCCTGAAGAACTATGGACGGAGGTTCGTGACATTGTACAGGAGGCAGCAATCACCACCATCCCAAAGAAAAAGAAATGCAAGAAAGCAAAGAGGCTGTCTGATGAGGCTTTACAAATAGCAGAGGAAAGAAGGAAAAGCGAAAGGCAAAGGTGAAAAGGAAAGATTTACCGATCTGAATGCAGATTTCCAGAGAACAACAAGGAGAGATAAGGAGGCTTTCCTGAATGAACAATGCAAAGTAAGAGAGGAAAACAATAGAATGGGAAGGACTAGAGATCTCTTCAAGAAAATTGGAGAAATCAAGGGAACGTTTTGCGCAAAGCTGGCCATGATAAAGGACAGAAATGGTAGCGACCTAACAGAAGCAAAAGAGATTAGGAAAAGATGGCAAGAATACACAGAAGAACTATACAAGAAGTACCTCAATGTTCTTGACAACCACAATGGTGTGATCACTGACCTCGAGCCAGACATCCTGGAGTACAAAGTCAAATGGTCCTTAGAAAGCATTACAAACAACAAAGCTAGTGGAGGTGATGGTATCCCAGCTGAGCTATTCAAAGTCTTAAAAGATGATGCTGTTAAAGTGCTGCACTCAATATGCCAGCAAATTTGGAAAAGGCAACAGTGGCCACAGGATTGAAAAAGGTCAGTTTATATTCCAATCCCAAAGAAGGGCAATGCCAAGGAATGTTCAAACTATCGCACAATTGCACTCATTTCGCACGCTAGCAAGGTCAAGCTCAAGATCCTACAAGCTAGGCTTCAGCAGTACGTGGATAGAGAACTGCTAGAAGTACAAGCTGGGTTTCGAAAAGGTAGAGGAACTAGAGATCAAATTGCCAACATTCACTGGATTATGGAGAAAGCAAGGGAGTACCAGAAAAACAGCTACTTCTGTTCCATTGACTATGCTAAAGCCTTTGATTGTGTGGATCACAACAAACTATGGCAAGTCCCTAAAGAGATGGGAGTACCAGACCATCTCACATGTCTCCTGAGAAACCTGTATAAGGGTCAAGAGGCAACAGTTAGAACCGGATCCTGTGGACCCAACAGATGAACCATCTGAATTGCAATTTTTCAGCATCTCTCAGGACAGAAAACAACAAACAACCAATAAATCAAAATGATAGGAAGTTTTACTTACATCCTCTAGTAGAACAAAATTTGAGTTCAGTGGCACCCAATAAGATTAACAACTGATGCCAATTCATCTAAATAGCACGGAAGAAAACTTCATAAGGGAGACATTTGAGTTTAATTGGACGACCACAGAGATGCAATATTTAGGTATCAAGATTAGCCTGGATAGCTCTAAAATGTTTTCACTAAATTACTTGACTATGCATGCGGAAATAACTCAAAAGATGAATAAATGGAGTAAATTACACCTTAACTGGTTTGAAAAATATAACTTAATTAAATCCTTTATCTTACCAAAG